TGGAAAACTGAGTCGCGTCACATCGAGTTCATTGTGCAAACTGCGCAACCAGGCTCTCCAACTCTTTAGAGGTAGAATACTTCGCTCTCTTTCCCCCATCGCACAGCTCACCTGGTAACGTTGTCTTATGTGATTCACTGCGACGAGTTCCGGGAATAAAGCTGCCACATATAACTAAGCACTTCTCGTGAGTATTGGATTCGCTTCTATGCAATATGAAGTGACCAAGAAACATCGATAAATGAAGTGATAAAGCCGATGTTTAAAAGAAAAGATGGAGAGAGAGGTCAACTGAACTATACTCAATCAAATGAACATGTGTGAATGTATGTCTTTCTCACACTTTCACACGGTTATCTGATTGATCGAACTCACGTTTCACTCGAAGGTTAAACGCACCGGTTGCATTTCCTCTCTCATTCTGTGCAAAACACGAATAAGTTGCATCATCTTCATCAAACAGCGGCACTATTTTCAGTCGATCATTGACCCATTTCACACTGTCTATGGTGATACGGTTGTTTTCTTTCATTCCTTCGACATTAACTGCTCCGGTCTGATCCACATCAATCGGTCGCTGATAACGAGCCCATAGAATCGGTTTGGTCAACGGTGGATGAGCAATAACATCACATAAATATTCCAGTGTTTCTCCGGGCGATAGATACATATCCATACGGGGTTCGGCTAAGATTGGCGGGACTGTGCAATGTGTTGAAATAGATGCAAGTGGCGAACGCAATGAAAGATTGTATTTTGAAATGTAAAAAGTTCAGTAGCCTCTGTGGGATCGAAAAGCACGCATAAACGCGGTGCACGCTCCACTAGTTGAGAAGAATATATGTACCCCAAAAATCCATTCTATATTCCCTTCACGAGTAAAACGTAATTCTCATTAAGTATTTCTACACAAGATAGACTAAAGTGTACGAAAAATCATTCAAAACTGGATTACAACTAAAAGCTATTCACAAGCTCGAAAAGCTCGAAAAGGAATTGGATACCCCACCCTAATCGGAACAGATCGACTGACCTCATTCCAACGCAGCGTCTCACTTTTCTTCACATACTTCTGTATGTCATCACTGTACAGCACATATAACCGACCATAAGAATTTTGCACACAATTAGAAATGCGCTCGTGGATAACCCGCATCTTATCACCCCGTTGCCCAAGTATAACCGATACGAGTCGTTTATTGTCAAGTGGTTCGCTAACTGCCGCAGAGATTTATCTGAACGATTTCTTGTGTCGCCAACGGGGATAGTAATCCGAAGTATGTACCCTCCCAAACGGTTGGAAAGTCTATCTATGAGTATGTTCCTTGTCTCATGCACCATAAGAAGTATACCAGGCAACACAATGTAATTCATCCGTCAGCTGCTAATAGCTACGTATGAGCTAAGTCCAAAAAATAGTAATTTTCTATTTAAAATTATACTCCTGATCACGTATCCGATTGTAACATAGTAAGAATTTATTGAAACGAGATCCATGGATGGAACGCATCTCACTGAAAAAAATTGGGCGTCGTGCTTATGATTATCGATGGAATTAGCTTGTCGTAGCCACGACGAACGAAAAAAAACAAGGCGTTGCTGCCAAACTTTCGACCCTCTTGGAAAGCCTTTCTCAAGTCATTTATTCGATTAATCTCGTGTTACAATCAATAAGACGATGGGATGACGATATCTGGTAGAACTCTGATGGGATTCGAGGATGTGTATGTATGTGTGAGTGTGTTTGCGTGTTGGTGATTGATCGACAGGCGGTTGGACTTGGCCACTACGGGAACAGGATAAAACTAGATTCTCGGTGTTCGAATACCGCTGTCTACGTCGCACTGCACGAGTCTGGTGGGATAACCGGACTAACAATGCTGAGGTTAGGCGCAGAGTTTTAGGTAGTCGCGGTCGTCCACTGGAATAGGTAGTCAACTTCGATAGATTACGTTGTACGGGGAATGTGTTATGCATGTCACCAAATAGGTTGCCACGGCGAGCGATGTATGCCGAGGTAGGTAGTGGTTGGACAAAGGTCAAGGGTGGTCAAACTAAGACCTGGATGCGGCTATGAAAATCCTAATCAGGAGACTAGGTCACATAGGCCCCGTTAGGCTCCCTGGCTGAGGACCTTGGGATGACGGTCACCGATGGCAAGAGACACTGAGTGATATGGCTGGGTATCGCAAACAGTGGCCCTGGTGCATCCACTCATTATTCTCCTAACACCATTCTATGAATTCTTCATCCTCCGCTTGAATTTGCTTTACATTCCAATCTTCATCCTGCTCTTTTTTCCAAATGCAGCACCAAAAGAGAGCAATCACAACAGGCGCACGAAATTGCATGGTCAATGGTTGTAAAACTGAAACTGGTTGGGACCGTTTGGTTTGACCGTTAGGTCAAAACGCACGAATATATCATTTGGCTTTGAAGGTAGGGACGATACAATTATGTATTGACAAACGTCTATTGCTGCCATAATTGTGGGATAGCAGAAAAAAGGACATTACTGAAAATACTGTTTTCCAGTCACAAATTTGAACAGAGAAGTCACAACACAATGTAGTGTTACTGTGGCTTGTCCTTTGTGATCAGCGGTTTTTTAGCTCACGGTTATTATCTCCCCTACTGTGAAAATCAGTATAATTGCGGTAGGCACGTGTACAGGTGCAGCGAAATGACTGTGAATGCATTGTGCAAACCCTTGTTTCTAACTTCACTATTCAAATTACATAAATAGCGAACGCTCACGTAGTGTGTTGTTACTGCAGATTCTCACTTTGAATAACTTGTAATATTGTCACGTATTAATATAATTTGTATGCAAAATCTGTCGCTGATTCTGACTGTATATTGCAATAATAATAATTAAATCAATTTGCGATTCTCATTTTGAACATGATTGATCTAATTGAGCGGTGTTATGGAATGAAAAATCGGCAGAAACAAATACCACAACGATCATGGCCGTGCTTTCACAAATGAACTTACTAAACAAATCCACTTCGCTGCTTATTCGCACCTTCTGGTTGATTAGCAGTTCGCATTGATATTTGCCATAGATTTTAGCTTTGAGGACTTTGGGACACAAGAGAAACAAGAATTAGACTAGTTCGACAAATGGGTTGATGAACAGAGCATTAGAATCAGGCATTCGACTTCGATACATTTGTTCCAGTAGCCGGACAGATAAGTTACCTTCATCAAGTTGTGATTTGAATTATTCACCTGTAGAAGCGCACACAACATGAGATGCAAGAGAATACCATTCATCGCACACTCTGACTGCGAACGAGTGACACCAGCAATCAACGTGACTGTTCTGGGTCCTCAATTTCAGTGGATGTCCCATGATGTCTTCCGGCTTTTAGTAAACTAACAACCACAACTGCGCCTCCTAAGATACACATTCATTCACATTCCTCGGCGCAGCTTTGACATACAAAAATGTGAATTATATCTTAAAAGGCACTGTCATTTTTAAGTTGTTTCTTTGAAAAACTCTGAAAGGGATAGAAGCTGTTTGGAGATAAGTAGAAAACACTTTATATTTATACAATCTGAAACTCTGAATCCTCTCTATCTATCGCATCAATACTGAAAGGAGAGAGATGTCATCATTTCGTTTAAGCTTCTCAGTCGCTAATGTAAAAAACAAGCACATTTACAGCACATTGAATTTGAAAATCCTAGTGAACGGACATATACGGATAGACAAGGGCTATTGGAATAAAAAAAAACAAGTGGTCAACTCCAGGGCAAATGAACTGTTTGAGCCAACAACTTTTGGGCGCACAGAACGGGATGATGCGATCGGATTAACAACGTCTCACTTATTCCCAACAGCTTTGCATTACAGTTACCTAACAAAGATTTGAAAGATGAAGCGGGATCAATTTTGTTTGGTTATCATGAGGTGATAACCCCAGGTTATGTGTGACCGCCCGATTAATGGGTAAGGGTTGCATTGACGGTTTTTGCTAACCACTTTGGAATGTGTTCGACCATCCGTTGTGATAACTGACAGTTGGTTCTGTCTATGTATACACTTGTCTATGTATGTATACATGTCCGTTCACCAGGATTTACAAAGCAGATATACTTCAGATGTGCTAGCCTTTTTGGTTTTTTTTAAATTTTACTTCCTTTTATTGAATACACAATGATGCAATTTTCAGAAAGAGGGAAGTGGCCAATCAAAGGGCTACCATGGGGTAAGTCAGGTGGTGGTGAGGTTCGAACACACGTCCCCAGAGGTGGTGATTTAGTGACATTACCATCGGATCACCACCACCCAGCGATTGAGAAGATTGAACGAAATGTTAACATCTCGTAACATGGGTTCCCTTTTGGTCTTAATGCGATTCGTCCAATCAACTGAAAATCGTTTTGAAGCACGGCCTCTTTTCATTGCAGTTGCAGCTAGACTTTCGTAAGGTCAGATAGTAATTATAAATTTTTGTGGTAAATTTTTACTCTCTTCTTCCTCGAGCGCATTACACACTCCGCATTCCTTCCACATCACTAGTTTCTTATACACGCGATGTCGGCTATAGAACTTGGCAACAATAGCCAACTCTTATAGAGGAAAAACATGTCTGTGGTTCCACTCGCGTTTGTTGAGTGTGGGAATAAGTTCTCCAGATATATTGTAGCCAATGTGAATTGCAACGGTGCATTCTATAATCTAGTGATAAATCTGTACCCACATATAAGGTAAGGAACACGCTTGTCGTTCAAAGATTCGTTGGTTTCGTTTTTCATATCAAAAGCATTTTGACGAGAATGGGACTGCACAATAAAGTGCAAATACAATCCATCGGTAACAGCATGTAACGAGAAGGAAAAACTATGTGACGAAGTTGAGCACCAAAAAGTGGGTCTCACTGCGTGACCAATGTGACTGCAAAGAGAATGCAGTAAACAATCCGGGGTTTACAGTGGAAAAAAAACTAATTTTTCGTAGCCAGTAAATGAGTTTAAGTATAGTCTTACTATTCAGGTGCAATGCTAAGAAATATTTTTCTTTTATTTCGTTACCTGTTTGGTAAAAGGACTATTTTAGCTAAGACTGCCTATTTTTCAAGTATTTTTATATTTTTTATGATTTAAACTCTTTTTGGCGCTATTTCTTGGTGCTAATCGTCCACACCCAGCTGGCGGTCCATTCTGTAAATTTCCTCATTTATGCATCAATTCTCAAGCTCTCTGTGTCCGCATACCAGAACAGTATAGTATATAAGCAGCTGATTTGTACACTTGCTTTCTGTGTGTCAGGTACACATGCGTGGTGCATCATCTGTGTTCTTGCTTAAGTAGTTGGGCGAATGCTACTCACGGCGTTCAGTTTGTGCTGTGATCGTACTCATGGGCTAGACGACTAGTGTGGCCG